TTAATAAATATCAAGGAGACATCTCTCTGCTTGTTTTTTCTCTTTGGCTTTGTAAAGAGGTCCTATGTACTCAAATAGTTTTATAAAATAATATCAAAAATGTCCATTAAAAGCAGCAGTTTTAATTTGCACTACCTAATCATTCCTTCTGAAAATCATTGAGGTAATTATTATATTAGCTTAAAATGATAGGCACAGTACATTTAACATATCATTTAGGTGGTTTAAACAAATATACATATATCTTATCTTATCATATTATATTATATACATTTGTACTTATGTAAATATGTATATTTTTATAGTTTTTCCTTTCTCTTAGTTTAGGTAAAAGTTTTTCTAGTATGTTTCTCACAGTCGGGGGGAGTATTTTTTAGCCAGGAAAAACATTTCACTGTATGTTGTACTAGCTATAACTACATGTGACAAATAAATAAAGAATGAAATAAAAAATACATACTGCACGAGACTATTCCATGGGCCTCATCTTGATGCATAATATTACCTTAATAAATTCAAGCAGGTTTAACTTTTGATACATTTTACACTATCCTATCATCCCCTTTATTTTGTTTAAACAATTAGTGTTTCTAACATGATCCAGACCTTTTTGTCACGCGCTGTTATTTGAAACATCAACACGATTAAAAGCAGCCCCAAATTAATTGAATTTGCCCGACTGCCTCGTTACGTGAGGCGACTGTTAACGCGATGAGTAAATGAGCATTCTGATATGACAAGTTAAAATGATAAGGTCAGTGCGGCTGAACAAAGAGGAACCATTTCTGTCATTTTACAAAAGACTAGATTACACTCATGTTAAATAAACAACGAATTAGAACAGGGGCAGACTGATTTGCAGTTAGCAGCAAAGCAATTAATCTTACATTGTAAATGTGGGCACAGAATGGGAAAAAAAAAATACAATGAGCACTATTGTAAGAGCGGCATTGCTTCATGTCATTGTCATTACAGCACTCGCTCTAATGAAATGTACTGTACTTATTACGAGCTTTGTCTTTCTCTGCCTACCAGCGGATTCTTATTTAGTTTGTCTTAAAATTTCATATCCCAAAATGAAGTAGAGCAATCTGTAAAGTGGATAATTTCATTTGTTTCTTGTGCAGGTTTTTGTGAGAATATCAACACTTAAGTGAGGAAGAGTGGCTTGCAAGCATATTGTCACTCATTTTCAGACACTTAAGAAACACGTGTTTGCTTTAATGTAGAGTCAGCTCGACATTAAAATTCTTATTTCCATGCATTTTTGCAGAACGGCAATTGATTTGGTTTGTTTTATACATATGGTTTAAAACAAATGCATTCCTCTGGAGGATGCATATCTTTACACACTTCTGTGAACAACTGGCATGAAACTGCAAAACCTTTAATATTTCATGGACGGGCATTTTTGTCTCAGTCGTGATATTTGACTATTTAAAAAAAAAAATGTAAGTGTGTGCATCCATGCATGCACCTAACCTACCCACAAACACACGCACATGCAACCCCTCAACCCCATCTCATCAGCAACCATTCATGTAACCACACACACACACGTGCATGTACACTCATGTGGATATTATCAGCGGTGCTCAGCTGAGGCTCCAGGCCTGTCCGGTTCCCATGGCGTAGCAGTGACCAGGGGAGGAAGAGCTTATCTCTTCCCCAGGCCCCTCCCTCGGCCCCACGCCTTGGCTCTGGGAGCTGGGAGGCAGATGCCATGCAGGACCCCAGTGTGGCACGCTTCTGTGGCCAAAGCATATAGCGTTTAATGCTTAAGGGATGGGCTTTTGAACCAGACAGTCTATCTCATCTGTGTGTTTGTGTGGAAATGTGCGAGCTTGTGCAGGCCACACAGCAGATGGAGGTAAAGGCTTTGAGTATGACCATCTCCCACTGGCCCACCTGGACCCGTTTAGAGCATTTGGTACGCACACACACGCACACACTTTCACGCAGTCTGAAATCAGCTACTTTCTGTATAATAAATGGGACCAAATGAAATCAAGGTGCTGTGTTATCTCTGAAATATTACTTCCTCTAAATTTATAAGGACGTGATTATTGAGATGTCAAATTATGTGACGAGTACAGTAAAGACGATGACTGCAGACATCGAGCGATGCTCTATGAAGGGAACGACGGCACATTTTTACACTGTTTCTGGAGCCGATTTCACTCAACACCCATTCTCTCACGAGCAGCTGAATGAATAAATCACCTCCTCACATTTGTGGCGTGCTCTCATTGTCACACTGCACCATCACCGCCAATTATGCTGAACTATTTCCTCACTAAACCGGAGAGTATTTACAGGTCTACAAAGAGGAGAACAGGTGTGTTGGAATGCGCAGCTGAGAAACTCCAAATGAGTTTTAAAGAGATGAGGTTAACAGCTTTGAAAAGCTCCTTTCGTCTCACTGAATTATGCTAAGTGTTCACAAAACATTAGTCTAAATATAGGGCCAGAACATGCCGCAGATTAGCTCGCACAGTGATGGGTCTATAAGACGGCGGCACGGAGCTGTCTTCCCTCTTTGACTGGCACAGCTTTGAACCCCACAGCGAAAATTCATTCCACAGTGGGTATATATCTGCAAATGTGTGTCTCTGTATTAGCCTGACAGTGTATCTTGAACCAAGGCTTTTATTTTTCCCCCTGTATTCAGAAGGAATCTTACATTGGGCTGAAACTGTATTCACGTATGACACAGAGTGGACTAAGGTAGAATAAATATGATGCTTCTGTTGATTATTTTAGAGCGCGAGCACCCTCCTTTTGGCCGTTTGAAGGTATTAAAGGAAAAATTCATTTTGGCTCTCCGGGCTAACTATATCGCACGAGCTCAAAAGTGCTGAAAACATTCAACGGTTTGACACGCTCAAGTCCTGTTTCAGCAAAGACACCCGTGCTTTAATATTGGGAGTCTTGCCTTTGATGTGTGATCACACATGCGCATGCCTACCACTCACACACTCACGCAGGCACAATACATTTGCTGAGATAAAGTGACTGCAGTGTATGACCCATTTTGCAGAGGCAGGGCTTTGCTTTTATAACGATGGAGAGTGTGTGTGTGTGTGTGTGTGTGAACACTTGAGTGTATGAATGCATAACCACTATCTTACAGCAGGATGACGCTGCACAACAGGCTTTTAAATCTTGAAAAGGAAGTGCTAGGCTGGTTTCTTGTGAAAATGCTCCTGTCACACGTCCGGTCATAATGCCGTTAGCCATACTTACTACTCTTCCCACCGGGGGTTTCGGGCAAGCCAGTAGCTTCTGAAAGTACTCACAAATATCAAGAAAAGAGGAAGCATTATTTTCAGGCAAAAAAAATAAAAAATCTTGTGCATGGGGTGCGTTGTGCAATACACTTCATGTTCCCTAAGTGTGGCAACAAGCCTTGAAATCCCTAAGCATGCTTCTCAAGCAGTTAATAATCATTGTTTCATGGTGCTGGAGGAGCAAGCCGGAGATAATGCTCTGTATAGAGATAGCGCACTGCCTTATTTCTGCCGCCTCCTGTTAACACAAGAGACAAATGGAATGGGTGCATCGCCTTGGAGCCATCCAAATGAGGGTGTCTGCTGTGGAGTGAAGTGAAGTGAAGTGAAGGTGGAAGAGGAAGAAAAAAAAAGGGGGGGCGGTGGCAGGCGAAGGGGGGCACAAGTGCCACAAAAATCAGGGAGCGGCTGCTCGACCCTCGCGGCGCATCACGGTTGCAGTCAAGTGAATGTGAAAACAAGAGAAAGCTTTGCGGAATATCGATTTAATGCCGCAGCCTGAGCAGGGGGAAGATGCGTGCTCCAGATTACACGCGCTCTATTTCCCACCCATACAGAATCTCCAGTTCCTTCTGTCTCCACAGAACCAGAGAGGGAGGCTGAGAGGATGCTCTTTTATGTCCCGTTGCCCTCCTTGAAGTCCAGCTGTGTAGAAAATCAATGTAGAAATGAAGAACGGGGCAGAACAACATAAATATGTAAAACATATCACACCGCCTTTGTGTCCATACACGTAGGAGAAAGTAATAGAGGACCTTTGTGCTCTTATAGCATTTTTTGCATCAATTAGCTCCAGGTGTCTTAAATAATAGTTTACTTTTTAGGAAAGTGAGAGTGAAGATTCATTTTGGGGTTTCTGCTGTGTTGAACATCAATGTGGGGCCTTGCTGAACTCTATTTGATCCTATTCTTTTTTCACTTTTTACTATTTGCGTCAGAACATTTGTGGCATTTCAGCCGGAACAGCATTGACTTTGTTAAGTAATGATGAATGAAATTCCTCATGAATGTGCAGCACTTTGTTATGCAGGAAATTATCCACAAATTTATGCAACTAATTCAGATTACAGGGATACAAATTTGATTCTGTATTGCGCTGCTGTTCTTGCATCTGGTGGGGGTTATATGGATATCACATCAAAATGTGATAAAATCATGAGAAATAAGTGATGTGATATCTGGAAACATCCAGATCCAGTGAAAACAGCTCCCAGTTGGTGACTTTGGCAGTCATGTTGCTTTCTTACCTGTCGTCACTATGAAGACAACTTCGTGTTACATTTTCGCCCTCGGTTAATGTGCTAGTTGACGACCGCTCAAAAAAAAAAAGAAAAGAAAAGAAAGAAAGCTGACGTGTAGGCTCGCCACACATTTTCATACATTCCACTTTTATATAACGACGAAACAGAATGTGTGCGTTTCCCCTCCCTTCTATGACAAAAAATCTTAAGAACAATTTGTTACTTATGCGCCCCCCCACCCTCTCTGTCTTCCAACCCCTCCCGCTGAAAATTATGAACACTGAGCCGCACTCACATTCTTGCGCACGGCCAAGCGAGGAGGCGCCTCCGCTCTCGTCCTGGGCCAATGGCGCACGCACTCCCCTTATCATACTTATCCCTGGCTGGCCAATGGGCGCCTCGAACACAGGCTCACATGACGCCTTTCTGTGCGCTCCCTGTCCTCTCAGCGCTCAATCCCAGCGAGTGCAGGCATCACTGAAGACCTGACACCGGCGGAATCGGACGTTCGCCGTCCTCGGCGGGACGCACCAGGTGTTGTGTTATGCAAACTTCACTGCCATCCGATGACGCTGTCACATCCCGTCGACGAGAATGACCCCTGGCTTTGTCTGAGGAGCACACTTGGCCGTCTCCAAAACGCAGAGTCACAGGGGCAAGACAATAACGCCCAGAAGTTATACAAATGAATTGTAAGTATCGACAAAATTTTACTTCCCGTCTTCTATTCGCTTTAAAAAAAATACGATGATAACAATTCTGAAACTATTTTATTTTCTGTTTGTAGCCGACTTTGCTTTTTCTTGATTAAATTTTTGTTGTTTTTAGGATTTGCGATTGCATGTGCCACTTTTGCGCCGTTTTCTTTCTGTCCCTTTCTTTTGGTTTCCAAGCAGAATTAAATACATATTTTTTAAACCACTTCATAGTCATCACTTCATAGTATTTGACTTTACCTGATGCTCGGATGGTGTTTGACTTCGCTTATATTTCTCCTCTTTTGACGTTCTTTGCGCAGTCTGTGAATTTGCTCATTGTGAATGTGGGGCTGTCTCAGCGCAGGGCCATAGCATGAAATATAGATAAAAAGCACAGGGTAAACCCGCTGACCCCGGGCAGGCAGGCAGACAGACTGTGCAACCGGTCCGCACGGCTCAATGAGGACAATCGGGGGTGAGAGAGGGGGGAGAGAGAGCAGCAGAAGAAATAAATGGAGTACTTGAAGCGCACTGAAACAGCGCTGCACTTCACTTCAGCCCGCGGGGCAGGATAAGGGTGGATCTTCAGTAACGTGTTTTGTCTGTTCAAATGTGATTAAACAAAGAAAAATTATTTTAAAAAGTACTTAAAAAAGGTAAATAATTATTGAAGAGGCTTTTTCTACTTAAATTCCAGCAAATTGAATTTCACATTCTGAGGTCACATCACTCATTGAACCCTTTTATTGATTGGAAATTAGGGGTTCTGGGGTCAGGTGGGGGTGCAAAATTTATGTACAGGCAGGAGTCAAAGCAAAAAAAAAAACAAAACCCAAAAAGGTGCCTTCAGATTGTTTTTTGTGCTTTACGCCAAGGCAGGGGAAGGGAGGGAGAGAGTAGGGGACCGGGGCCATTTGATGTTTTCAAAAGGTTTCAGATGGCTTTAATTAGGACCTATAAAAATCTGTCTGCCCCGTTCTCTAAGGTAGCGCTGTGGAGTACCAGAAGGGAGGGGAACTGGCAGAGGAAGAAAAAAAAAGAAAGAAAGAAAGAAAAGCAAACCGACACAGAAAGTCGCTTCAGCAAAGGATCGTCTAATCAAATTTTTATAACCCTCCTCTTTTCTTCTCCCTGCTTCCCTCCCTTGCCTCCCGCCCTCCCTTCCTTGATGCTGGTGGTATGTAGGCAGCCCTCTTTGTCTGGCTGCTGTGTTATCCCCCCCCCTCCATCCCCTACCCTCCACCAACCTCAAACTAACTATTGCCTACAGTTGGTCCGACCCCAGACACCTGAAGGCTAGACATAATGATCAAGAGAAGTTCGAGTCTGTCTGGAGCACAGCCAGCGGTGTTTAGGTTTTCTTCTTTTTCTCCTCCTCCTTTTTTTTCTTCTTCTGCTGGCGCTTCTTTTGCTTGCTCCTCATCCACAATCAGCTCACGCTATGTTTGAGAGTTTGCGTTGGTGTCTGTGTGTGTGTGTGTGTGTGTGGCTGGAGTTATGTTGGTTTTTTGCTGCTGTCACTGTGTAGCATATATGGATATTGGATTGACTGTGGGTGACTAACGGAGTTGCAGTCTCCGCGCTAAGGAGACATCAAAGACTTTTTCTGTGTTCTATTATATATGTGTGTGTGTGTGTGTGTGTGTGTGTGTGTGTGTGTGTGTGTGTGTGTGTGTGTGTGTGTGT